CAAATTAAAAAAACTTAACATGTTATAGCCGGACATGGCCAAAATCCCAAAATACCCTCCACTGATTCGTCTAATACGATACTTTATCTATTTTCAGGATAAACTGGACCTGTTTCCACGTAAAGGCATACTTTTGGCGACACCAATGCATTTATACGGCTAAAGGTTCGAAAAATCAGTACACGCTGTGCACATTTGATGCCATCAATATTTCTGTCAGATTACGATTATTCGTGCCGTCATTTTTCATCAAAATATATCCATGTGATCTAAACTTATTGCAGTAACTGTAGTCACTATTTTGTTACTAATTTTCACAACAAATTAAACCTTGTTGTTGTAGAAAGGCAGATTTTTCGTAAGAAGTCTCTATATGCGAAGAGATTCAAAAAATCGTTCCATCACTTCTAAATTTTCCGCATTCCTCTCCTATTTTTCGGCGAGTTTTCCGAGAACTTTAAAAAAATGCAATATTTTTTCATTTACCACCTTTCTGAAAATTGGGCGTTATTTGGGAAGCGGTCTCTTAACTAAACACAAAAATATATGCGTAACGTGTTAGACGAAACGTCAACGGGCGGATGCATTGGCATAATGGGAGGTTAGTCTATCTCAAATGTCCATCTAGACGTTGCCCATATCTGCGCAAACTTAACATATTCTTAGCACAAGTGGTGCAGCGTATATACATAATTGCAAACCATACCTTTCAACTCCATTACCGAAATGTGTGATTGTGCGAATTTAGTGTTAGACATTAACACTACATAAAATATAAATATATTTCTTTGTAAACAGTTAACAAATGAGGCTCAAATCACGCTACAGAACGGATAGGATCGAGTTTACTAATACGGCATACTATAGACAAGAGGATAAAGCTTCAAAAGCGCGGCAAAAACTCATTTAAAATTTTGTATAATTTTTTGCCAAAACCATTGAAGTGATCGGCAAAGAAAAAGTCTCGATGCACATATCTTCAACAAGCAGGTCTGTGAGTAATTAATTGTGTGATCTGGTGTCTGTCTGTGTTATGTGTTGATAACTGTTACTTATACATACATTAAACGCTACAAGGGGTAAGTTGAATGGCAATCCGCAATATATGGATAAACGGAATGCACGAGTACGCATAATAGTGGCAGGCATAATCCCGATATTCCTACTGTATTATGAACTAAAATTATTGAATGCACTGATGTCAAGTTTCCCAGTCACTCGTAAAGCACATATCCGAAGGAGACGGTCCCCAGCAGGAATATCATTGCGAATAGTTCGATCGAATCAGCGCGTGACGACGGACCGTTCGGTGCGACGTTTCAAAGAATATTCGTTGTGATTAAATAATAATAGGTGCTGGTTGGCCATGCCTCGTCCAGAGGGGAGAGTTTGAACCATAGTGAACCAGTGAACCCTTCATATTTGGTACTTCAGTCTTGGAAAAGACTCTCTCAGGTGCACGATTATCTTGCATACAAGGACGGACGCAACCTATCGCTCGTAAATTACCCAACAACCCTAAGGGCTCTGTCTGATCAGCCATCGAGGCAGGTGCGAAAGGTAAACGTGAAAGACTACTCTATCGAGATACGAGTGCCGTTTCGTTTTTATTGAAAATGTGCAGATCAAACTTGACATTTTCATAATAAGCAGACCAATTTGGCTGACAATGGCTCTAAACATAGTCTCGTTCGAGTACTTTAAACAACTTGGCAAGTAAAAAAAGCCATGCTATGGAAGTGTGAATGAAAAGCCTTTCCAGAATCGAAACTAAATACATTTTTCTCGAGACAATGTTGTTTAAGCTTATCGTACATCGGCTGAGTCTTTTCATATTGCATTTAATTGCCTTGACATGTTGTTACGTAAGTAACTCTTTGAAATATAAAGGCGATTAGTGATTCTCGATATCGAGCGCACTCGTTGGCTGTCAGTTATAGACTCAGTCTTACGACGAGAGAAGCGTTTACCGAGATCGATAAAATATGAAAGAAAAATCTTTTGATTTGACTTGCAATCGACTTTACTTCATATTGAGAACCATTACCACAGGCCCTAAGCTACTTTCGATGAATCTACTGAATTAACAATGAATTTCAATTTGTTTAATCTATGACTTTTTATTTTGCTTCAAATCATTCAACGACGCGTGTTCACTGATTTTGAAATCATCATTCATTCAGATAATTTTTGATATAATGTTTACGAGATGATAAAAGCGGCCAAATCAAAAATTAATAAATTTATCAGAGCTGTCATGGCCACCCACTTTTTTCGTACAAAATATTATATAAAACTTGACGCGTTCACAAGCCTATTATTAATAAATCCTTTCACTATTTTGTTTTGATATAAATTTAGTAAAAATTACCCTATGTTTTGTAAACACAGGCTGATTATGTATATCCCTTAAATTTATCTATGCAATGCATATTATAGCATAACATTATAGCTTAATACAAAATGGGCGGGACTTGTGTAATTCGAAGAGAAACACCATTGTAACAACAACGATATGATATGAGTTCGTCTTAAATAGCAAAACCGTTCGCATAGTTGTCGCTACTTGAAGAAGGACAGACTGATTCTGCTTTAGGCGCGATAAGCGAATTTAAAGCGTAAAGTGTAAGCAACCGTTATGAATATTATCATCCGGTATATTTTAAAAACGTTGAACTTTTTTTTTATAAACGCCTTTAACATTATCATGATATTCTGAAATTTTCTCACACTTGACATGGATATAAGCGTCTTTGATTTCGATAGCAGACCTAAACAAAACGCTTGCATTTCACAAGATTTTTCATCGACACGATGCACAATAAGTTTTTGGCATAAATTTGTTAAGACTTTCAAACAAGTATCGTATGGAAAGCGGTTGTCGTCCATTGTCAAATTAAATTTTGAAAATGTAGCTGAGCGTATTCATCCTTGGACTTTCAATGAACGAATATAAAGGCATTCCTGCGCTGAGGCACTTTAAAAATCTCATCCTTATTCAGATGAAGGCGAGTAATGTTATGAATGGAATCATATAGAGTCTACCATCACTGGAATTTTAGAAAAGCTCCAAGCGTCTTTTAGGTGGATGTCCACTAATGATGTCCGATGTACCGCGACCATAAGGCTTTCTCAGCATTTCCATCCACTCGTACAGGAATTGCCTGCATATCGTCCGGTCGTTCTGCTGGAATAATTTCCCAGTGATCTTTCGCATCATGTTTAATGTTTCCAAGTTTAAGTTAAACGACCACAGGCGCTACCTCTCTACCTCTCTAAACCTTCGTAACCATCATTGTGCTCGCTCGTACAGGGGGCAAACCCCTGAGTGGCTGATCATCTTATATAAAATACAAGAGATAATAAATGAAAAGCTCAATATTTTTTCGCTTATTCTTTACGCAGGTGACAATTTCTCCGTATCATTATTCAGCTTACGTTGATTTTGAAATTTGGAAATGGCTTTAATGTTAACGATGTTAATAAAGCAACAATAAATAATTCGATCAAGTCTTAACTCACATATTCAATGTATGTCTGTGTGTCTGTCTGTCTGTCTGTCTGTCTGTCTATCTTAGAGATGGAAAGACTGAATCATTGTTCAAGTTTTCTCCAAATCCTTTCAGAAGATTCCTTAATTAAAAGAATTCGTTGCTTTGAAAACTTATTCAGTGCATGACCCTACCAATAACAGAAATATTAAAACAGGATTTAAAAAAAGCAAATTTAAATAAAATTTAAAAAAAAAGCGCTTATATTAAGCCATAAGATGAGAAATAAAAATTTCGTTTTCATACAAGTCGCAGTGAATTGCTTAGACGGGGAGATAAGAGATTTCAAAGGATTCTGTTTTCAAATACCACTACTTACCACTTCGGGGCAAAGACAAGCTACAACTGGAGGCAGATTTAAATAAGCTAATGATGTAAAAATATTAATTTGAAAAGCTTGGTACTGCCGGATGCACTGCCTTGTAATGTTAAGTCAAATGTAGATTTAAAAAAAAAAAAACAAAAAAAAAATATTGTATTAACTTCAAGGTAGAGCCGAGATGCAATGGAAAAGATTTCACATATATATATATTTTTGTGTTTTTTGTAAAAATATATTTATTTTTAATTTTTCAACTATTTCGTTTTTTGTTTTCCTTCGCTTCAAACTTAACTTACAATAGATAAATTTTTTTTTAGTAATATTATCGAAAAATAAGAAACAAATGAAATATTTACTAAAGAAACAAAATTAACACACATTTAACCTTGAGAAAAAAAAGGTTAAATATCATATTTTCAATCTCTCTGCTTAATGTTCTTCTTTTATTTATTTATTTATTTATTTTTTTTTTTTTGAATTTTTAAGCAAAAGTCGCGTCAAACAATAGTTGTTCCTGGCGATACGCGCTTTGATTTCATTTATCAGAAAATATCAATGCATCGATAACGAACTCTACGTACGATTTTATGAATCAAGCATAAAAATTCGTTAGAATTCGATATAATTCCTTTTTTCTTTTTTTTTTTCATAATTTTAATCGTTAGATAATTGTGTAGGGTGCTGATCGTGTGGAGTACTTTAAAAAGTTCAACTTAAATACTATATCACAAGCTTTGTGGTTACTGCTTATTTCATTTCCATGTAGTAGTTACCATTTTTCTTCTTTTTTTTTTTTTTTTTTTTTTTTTTTTATATATCACAACAAACAAAAAAAATACACTCATGCTTTAGCCAGACAGCCATTGTTTTCACTGTGTGGTAATGATGCTACCGTCGGTTCTGCACAACCTTGTGTTAACTAAGCGATTTTTCTTTACCACGAATGCAATGCAACGATAATTACATTGCGATTGAAACGACTCCAGGATAATTGGCTATACATATATATATATATATATATATATATATATATAACGCTAATGATTTAGCGTTCGTCCTTTGGCCAATTCTTTGGCAAATTGTGTTAGAATGAAAATATTGACGACTTGCTGCGTCAGAAAATCACCTCAGTACGGACGCCACACAGTCTTTTGACTGCAGGTGCCATTCTTGATTTTTGTCGTATTAGTTACTCCGGTTTCGGTGGATGTATACCGGGCCGACTGCGAGCGTTCATGGTATATGGCTTTTAGGGAGGAAGGAGCTTTCAATTCAGATCGTGGACGGGGTACACTGATTTGTTGGCCGGGCGATGAACGTGTCGAGTCAACTGATTTATCTAGATCTTCCGTCGAACCAGTTACGCTAGATATTTGAGGACGTAATATGGGAACAAAAGCCGACTTTACCACATCGATATGCTCATCATCTGAATCAACATCGGAAGCGGAGTGCTCGTGCACTGAACCAGTTTCCAGAGAATTGTTGAGCTTAATATGACTTCTTGTTAAAGGCGGCGATGAGGATGAAGGTCTTGAAGATGCAGGACTAATATGAGCTGTACTGATATGTTCCGGAGGACCATTGTTGATTGGCAAAGAGGGATTATGTAAAGGTGGCACGCGAGCTCTTAATCCGGCCGCAAAATGATAAGGATAAAAAGCATGAGGGTGAGGTTTTTGTTGAGCATGCAACAAATCAGGATGGACAGAAGCGGCAGCTGCGGCTGCTGCCACTGCTACGGGATTAAATGGAAATTGCGGTATACTGTATGTGGAACCAGGTGGCGATGGTAAAGAATTAACAGCAGGAATCGTCGTAGCACCTGTAGGCGGTGGCGTTATTTGACTGGGATGATGATATTCAATAGCTGCACCAGCCGTAGCTGGTGTTGGGACAACCGTTTGACCAGACGGTAAAGGTGGTGAGCTTTTAGCTAAGGCAGGATGGTGACTGACCGCTGCAGCTGCTTGATGACGAAAGTAATCCGCATAACCGTAAGTCATATAGGCAGCATCCAGCCAAGCTGGATTCAGCATGAAAGGATTAAAACCGCCTGGATGGGGATAACCGTAGCCTATGAAAGAATAAGACGTTTTCATAAGTAAAACGTCATCAACAATAGTCGTTCGAACTCAAGAGTATAAATGAAGGAGAACTTAAAATTGGTCGACTAAGCCTCAGTGATAGGCTATATCGTCGCCCCAGAAAAAACTAAACATTTAAACAAACTAAAAACTTACTTTGCTTACTTCTTGGTTCCCGTGGACCGTCAACGGTGACTTTAATAGCTTTGGTGTATGAGGCAACTTGTAGAGGATATGGATAGTTTGGATGGCAGATGGTGATGGTTAGGTTGAAAGATTTGCCGCGACCCGATCGACCCACGAAACGCAAATCATTAAATTTTGCTACTTGATGTTTCATCGGGGCTGAACAGCTACGAAGCTCTCCGCATGGATTTTCATCATTGCCCGCTTTGACGGTGACCATAGCACCATCGGGCACATCGTCCAAAGCAATGACTTTAAAAGCGTGTGGCAATGATTTATTTGAACGCCAATGCGATGGCAAAGCACTACATAGAATAGATGGGGCACCTGTTTGCACCAATTCGCCATGATACTCTTGAAGCATCTCTCGAAAACTATTATACGTATCCGTCATTGAGCTCGGCATTTTAGCGATATTTGAATTAGTGTCAGGTGTTGAGGAACCTGTGGAGCTGGCTGAATTTGTGTTAAGATTGGTGGTGGGATTCGAATTGCTGGTATTGGTGGTCATAACTTGAGTAATTGTCGCCACCATAGTAGTACCGGCTGGTAAATGCATTATTAATAATCCAATCGTACGCAGTGATAGTGATAGTGGTTGATAATTAGCACTGATCTTGACACTAAGTTAAGCACTTGTCAGTTAAAGACAACTTTTCACACATGTATACAACAACACTAGTGTTTTGTGTTTCTTTGAATTTTTTGAAATGTTTTCATTAATTTTTACGAATTTTTTTTTTGAATATTTATTTTTATTTAATCGTTTTGTTTTTTGTTTTTTTTTTCTCTCCCTCTCTCTCTCTCTCTCTCTCCCTCGCTCTTTTCCTTTACGTTTATCTGCTCTTAGGAATATTTTCAAAATTATTTTTAATAAAAATTTCTGGTAATTTTTGTCGTTTCTGCGTTTGTAAGTATGTGCGAGTGTGTGTGTTCAGTCGTTATAATATAGTTAATTTGATACGTTCTGAACACGTTCAAGTCGCTGAGTGAACTGACTCTCTGCGACGATCATCAGCCGTATTTAAAGTATAAATGTGAATCGCTTTTTGGGTCGACCGACCTTTGGTTGGTTGTAAATACAGGCACTCGCACAACCATATACACGTACATAAACGCTTAGCGACCCCTGCTTAAGGGTGCAGGCAAACCATACACAAACACAACAATAGGCCAGTCAGTCAGTCATACAAGCAGGTATCAAGCAACCACCATTGCCGCAACAACAACCACAGGAAAAATTTCCCATTTTTCCATTGCGGTATATGTACGACACCAACAAAATACAATAATATCAACTCTCTTTTGCTATGCAAACAGCACTACCATCACCATCATTACTACAACAACAGCAAAAAAAAAAAGAAAAAAAAAAAAACGAAGGGAAAAAATATAAAAATTGTACTCAACAACTGCAACAACAACAACAGCAACAATACCAACATCATTAAGTAGACAAGAAAAAAAAAAAAAAACATTTCACGAAAAGAAAAAATGCAAAAAAAAAACATGAAAAAAAGAAAACATTGTGCGGAAAAATATTGAGTAAAGAGAGAAACAGCTCGGTTAGCGCAACATGGGGTTGGGTTCAGTTGCTTGGATATTTGGAAAATAACATAGGAGTATATATATATATATATATATATATGACGATATATATAGATGTACAAACACGCGTTACACACATCATCAAAGAGCAGGTCATAAACTTGCTCACCATGAAGCTCTTTGAAGATATTGAAGGAAAGCAAGCAAGACAGCGACTTTTGAGTCGAATTTCTTTTTTTTTTTTTTTCATTTTCCTTTTTTTAGTTAGTGACACCACAGCGGTAGGCATTTATGGCATACATTATAAAAACACCGTTTGTACGCTCACATACAGTGGCACCTAACTGTGTATTATCGTTTAGAAGGTCAACTGTAAACCAATTTCTTCATCAGGTATACGCAAGATTCAATTTATTTGGTTTACTCTTTGACCTTACGCTTTCGAACCGATTGTGACGAGTTGATAAATTCAGAAGGCAAGAGAGAGCACAAAATCGTTTTGTATTATCATTTGCTGATGATGTGCTTTCATAATTAAAATGTCATATTAATTGCAGGAAATTCCTCAATACAATCAATGCAGGAAACATGTCTTCCATTTGAAGGGAAAGGCTGAAAGTTATTATTAATTAATTCGTCAGGATTCGCGCGGTTACATGAGGACTTCAAAGAAATCGAAAGGAACAGAAAAAACAAAGAATATAAATCCCAGGATGGATAGTTTTTTTTTTTTTTTTGATTTTGATATTTATCCAGCCATCAGGCGCAACGCCTCCTATACGTATGGGTACTGAGATCGTCAGCAAGATGACTGATGTATATGAGTACGGAAGGAATGCAATCAATAAAGAATTCTCTTCATTATTACAGACTTACAGGCAATTATAGAAGACAAGTGCAGCTAAGTAAATGTCTTTATGCAGTTGTCGATGTACACTTATTTGCCTTTACATTGCAAAACAGTGGCCCATTGGTTTATTAAGATTTTATTTTATTTCGAATATGTCGTAAAATTTCACGCTCTCCATATTTGGAATCTGTCGTTGCCTTGAAAGTGTCAATGCAAACAATTTGTCGTGAGCTATGTCGTGTGACACTGTGCAAGCCGCACAGTGGGATATTACTTTAAAATGATTTCAAGGATATTTGAATGCATTTCATCTTATATTATGCCCAGTTACGGAATTAAGAGAAAAACAAAAAATGAACGAATAGAAAGCAAATAGAAAAAATGAAAATTTTCACGCTTATTGTCTTCATTCATTCATTCATTCAATCGTTCATTACATGCTGATCTATAAACATACAAAACGTGCGCAATGCATAAACATTTAAATCGTTTTTTGTTTTTTTTTTTTTTTTTTGCCTTTAGACAAATTTAATAATTTGATGGGCCATAATGATGTCTCTGATAATTAACGACGAGAATGATAAATTGAAGTGTAAGCGCATTAAGCAAAACTTCTATTCCCTGACAAATGTTATAAGGCCATTTCACTTAATCAAGACATCTTCTATGCTACTTTCTACTAGAAGGGTAAGTAAGATCGGCTTGATATAAATGCGTTTCTTCAATACGCCTTCATACATATAAACAATGATGAAATTGATTTTCCTTTTTATCGAAATGCATGCAATAATGCATTTTTGCGACCTAATAAATAATTGATTAATAAGACAAGACAAGACAAGACTTTATTAAAATACTTGTCAGGGCATGTCTTAGGATTCAATCTTAACGCCAAAGTCGCAGGTCCAGCGAAAAGATTTCATTTTATAAATTCATTTGGCTTCACAAAAACGATCTCTAAAGGCAGCATGAATGATAACTCATTGTTATTTACTGTCTTGATCCGATTAGTGGAATACAAAAGGATTTCATTATTGAAATAATCATTAAAATAATTGTTGTATACTAAATGCGAAAAAGCAAAGTTTACTGAACTTCATTATCCATTACTAGCTTATAACTTATGTATGCCTTGCATTAATAAGTGCTTTCGTGTGTGGATGAATTACTCTTTCTTTTTACTAATTTGATCTTCTTTTATCAAACCAATCAAAGATGATTAATAGACAAACAAAAGAGGTACCAAACCTGGCCAAGTTGAATACGAATATATAGCCTATAGAGTATCTTCGTTGATATTTTTTTTTTATTACCAAAAAAAAATATCCTCGATATCTTAAATAATGTTGTTTCGTAAAAATAGTTGTTCATCGACTTGAGAGATTTTTTTCACATTTGACGAAATTTTCATCCTTTTTCCAAATGTGAGAGTGAACCTTTAATGCCCTAATGCGGAATCTAATCGACTATATATAAGGATTTATTGGTTCAGTTTACTTGTTTTGTAATCGGATCGCTTGATTCGCACGAATTATATTTTCCTTAGAAAGCTTAATAAATATGACATTGTTGTAAATGTTTATGACATTTTGGCAAAACATTTGACCTAATCCGCCTCAACCTGAAAATCTAATATCTGCTCTTGTTAAATGCAATAAATGCAAAATTTGCCATTTCCCAAATTCGTGGTCACCTTTACGACTCGCCGGGTACATGCATTTTTACATTTCGCATTTCTCAGATAATTGTTGTTCTTGTTGTGACATCATAAAAATCGCAAGAAATTTATGAGATTGATGCGATTTCTTGGAAAGTCATATTAAAAAGGATTTCTTTTTTTTTTTGTTTTGTTTTCTTCTTTCCTTCATTTCGGTGCAAATTTTAAACCGCGAAACTTTTTTTACAATATATATATATATATATATATATATATATATGTATGTATATCTATAAATAAATAAAGAAATTTTCGTATTTGTTCGACAAGAAGAGAAATTAATCGTTTGGTTTTTCGCATTTAATTGTTTTCTAAACCTTTTACGAAATTTTCCATCATTTACCGTCGCTTTGTTTTTGAAGTAATTTTCTACTTTTCGATTTCAGCGATCATTATTCATTATTCATTTTTGCGAGCGTAAAGAGGGTTGTTTATTAATAGACATACTATACTGTGTATATTCCGTCTCCCTCTAGTATTAAAAATTGTCGTTGTTTCGCGGCGTTATGCTCGCAGTGCAGTGTGCGATGTGCGTGCAAATGGGCATTTAGACTCCGCCTTATTCGGAAATGTAAACATTTGCTTTACGATCGCTGGCACTCACCAATTTTTTATTATGCTAATGTATATAAAATTCTATCATTAATGCGCTTTCACTCTCATTAAATTCCAACCATTATTATGCAACATTTGCAATATTTTTACACCGTTCGCTGAATGTCTAACGAATGTTCAATAAGTGTGTCATTCTTGGCGCGCAATCAGACGAATATGTCTGAGAGATTTCGTAAAGTGCATATGTATTGTTGAACATCGGAATTGGGATTTTTATTGGACTTGACAATGTCCGCCTACGCGCCGCGCCCTTTGGCAAACATTAAACATTTAACAAAAAATAAATAAATAAAACACGAAAGATTATAGTTTAAAAGTATCTGGGCAGCCCTGAGAACAATATGTCCGATGTGCTATTTCACACATAAACCTATCCTATGTACATTTTGTATGATTCAATTCAACAACAACAACCAAAAAAAAAAGACTATTCTTTCTATCTCATTTGAAGTTTTACGGAAATTTTGAGACCCTCTTAGTAAGTGGAACTGATCAATTCCCGAAACCTTCAATTACAATAGGCATTAGGATGATAAAGAAGTCACAAGTTTGTTACAACTACATTCCAATTAATGCTCATGGGTGATTGTATATACGCCGCCTAATTAATCGTAAGACTGTTTCATCAATAATCATAGGCTTGACCGATATTTGCTTACAATTAAAATTTATTGAATTTCTTACTTGCTCATCCCACCTGTACTCGTAGAATTTATTTCTTCCTTTTGTAATGTTTTTTTTTTATTCGAGACCCACACTTATGACGCATATTTCCATAAGCTAAGCGCCTCACACAAGCACAAGTTAAGCTGCCCATCGGAAAATTTGCTGCTATCGGAGTTTCAAAAGCAGACGTTGCATAGAACGAACGAGAGACTGAGCGATTTTTACAAACTTTCATCGTTCGGCATAGCATCCCATACGTTTTTAATCTCACCTGACTTTCCTGTCTTAACTCTGTAAGGGACATAGCTGACGATTAACGCCAGCTACGAGTCGATATACTCATATTTCTG